GTTCAGATGCATATGAATGAATAACGAATTCATATAATTTCTTATAAGCATTCGTTGGTATGATTTCCAAACATTCACTATTCCAGGTCTCAACTCGTTCAAAAACTAAGGAACTTACTTGCTTAATTAGCCATATCGGCTTTCGGTGAGACACATTACATAAGTGTCTCTGCGGCGTACGCTCCATCTCCAGTCTCCATCGTGCATCAGATTCGGTAAGTGCTATATAAACTTGATCACTCCACTGGAGACACGGTTTACCTATATGCGATCTTTCACTAACTATTGCTTCAAACACTTCACTTCAAACACTTTCTTCACTATATCGTTAAACACCTATATCGTTATCCATTTTCACGACTAAGGCACTAATTTGTCTAATATAAGAAATACATCTATAACATCTACATATATATCTACAAATATCTACAACGCAATTTTTGGTAATATTAATGAAAAATATCTAAGTATCCGTAGCTTCCGAGTTTAGAAAATTTTTCTCTATCAGTGAAGATGACAGTCTGTAATAGTCTATAACAGCTTATTTCCTCTTCCGAGTCCTTGTATTCGGAATTTTTGTGAAGTCTTGTCCATTTCGAAATTCGAAAGAGAAAGAAAGAGAATTTTTCAAGTCCAGTTTTAACTCTCTGAACAATTTCTGCTAATATAACCATGTAAATTTCCTCAACAGAGTTTTTGTTTTGGGACTTTTGATGAAATCTTATTCATTTCGGAACTCAAAAGATCTCATTATGATTTTGATTTTGATTATTCGTTATAGGTATTTGTTCTCCATTGCGATACGCTTCTTGGTTAATTCAAGTCTTATTTTTCCGAAAACTAATATTCCGAAGATAAAGTGTTGTTCTTATTATAATCACATGTTTAAACATTATCGGTTGCGTTATAATATCTTATCGCTTGAGTTAAAAAGGACTTACTCATATTGAGATCTTCAAGGGCTTAATAGCTATTTCTAGTTTTCCTTTTACATATAACTTCACCACACTTTAGTTCCATAAGGAATAAAATTTTTTTTCAATAACTTATTTATTCTTTATTCAATTATGACGATATGAACTATTTTCTTATGGCGATTTAGATTTACTCTCGAATTCAGATTGGTAAAATCAAACGTTTTTAAAGTAATCTAACATTTTAGTAGTTGTGTTAGTGGGCATTTATATTTTTTTTATAAATATATATGTATGTCGAATTAAATCACACTTTACCTGTCAGATAAAACCTGTCATATAAAACAGTTGTTAATTTCAGGGCAACCTTACTGCTTTGGCATAATATCTAGAGTGTTATAAATTAATCTTAAGTGTTATACATTTCACTCGAGATTTATCTATCGAAAATGAAAATTGCACTAAAAGTGAATCTCGATTCAAAAAGTTACTCCAGCGTTAATAGATACTATATTTTTCATACAGTTTTTTGAAAATTGTGTTGTTGTAATTCACTACTATTCACAAATCCTCTAGAGTAACATTTTCCTTAAAAAACTGAGACGTGAATACGGTTCTTTTGTAAGAAAGAATATCAGCTGTCTTTTAATGAAATATCAATTCAGTGTTGCCACACATTTAATATCAATAACAGTTTGAAGCTGGTTGCAGTTCAATTGGGTCACTATATTGGGGCAAACAGTATTTAAATTAAATATCTTCTATAACTTTCCGTTAAAATGATTGAAAATATGATCAGAAACACGAACGTGATTGAAATTAAATATCATCGATAGGCATAAAGTATATTGAAAGCAGTTCATTTAATCCTTCAAGCTCTTCTGTAACTGAGATAATCATTTCTAAGCACATATACGGCATAATTTATATGCAATCAAGTCAAAGGAAAGTTGCTCGCTCAAAGAAAACTAATATAAGGCATTTGAAAGAGTGCTTAAAAAGATATTCAATCCCAAACTAAAACTGCATCCAATGCAATTTGATTTTAATCCCTTAAAGCAGATACTTTGACGTATTTATCTCACCGAAGCACACAAGTGAACGAAACGATTTTTTTGAATGGAAAACCTGAAAAAAGAAACACTGGTCTACATAGACGACAGACACTCAACGTAAAGCGTAAGTAGGGAAGTGAAAATGGAACTTGAAGTATGAAGAATGTGTGATTATTGGGAAGAGGCGGCAGTAATGAGAGACACTTTAAAAATGTTTAAGATAAGCTGGAAAAAGTGTTTAACCCATTCACGGAAATGGTAAAGGTGCCATCTCGCTCTACTTTACAAAAAGAAGAAGAAAACTAAAAATAAAGAAAAATAAAAAGAAGCAAGCCAAAGTGCGAGAAAAGGTTTTTAAGAAATTTGTGTTAAAAGTAATGAAATGCAAACCAAAGCAAAGCAAAGTAAACAAGAAAAAATGGTGTTTATGTGCAAGTAAAATAGAATTGACACTCAAGTGAATGAGTAGGTGGGTGGAGTTGCATGGGCGTGCAATTTAAATTGTTAAAGTGTGGCAATAGTTCTACAAAAAATATACAGGTTGTTTAAATTTTAGTAAAAAAATAAAAATAAACACATAAAATATATAAAAAAGATAAAATAAATAAAATAAATTAAAATAAAATAAAATAAAATAAAAAAAAGGAAAATAAAATTAAATTAAATTAGATGAAATAAAATTAAATAAAATAAAATAAAATAAAATTAAATTAATTTAAATTAAATTAAATTAAATAAAATAAAATAAAACAAAACAAAATAAAATAAAATAAAATAAAATAAAATAAAATAAAATAAGATAAGATAAAATAAAATAAAATAAAATAAAATAAAATAAATAAAATAAAATAAAATAAAATAAAATAAAATAAAATAAAATAAATAAAATAAAATAAAATAAAATAAAATAAAATAAAATAAAATAAATAAATAAAATAATAAAATAAAATAAATAAAATAAAATTAAATAAAACAAAACAAATAAAATTAAAGAAAATAAAATTAAATAAAACAAAAATAAAATAAAAAATAAATAAATTAAAATAAAATAAAACAAAAGAAAATAAAATAAAATAAAATAATATCCAATAATGTAAAATAAAATAAATTATAAAATTAAATAGAATACGAAACTAAAATCAAATACATTATAAAATAAAATAAATTGTAAGTTTTCGAAAAGTAGTGAACTACAACAACAAAAATTATTTTTTATATTATTTAAATTAATTGAATGGTTGACCATACAGCTGTTTCGAGTATTGCCAACAACCCATCATCTGTGGTCTTGCAAATAATTCTTGTATTTAATTATTCGTAAATAACTTTTTTGGAACTGCAAGTACCAGAAATTGAACTCGTGCCCTGCAAAATTTGAAGCTCAGAGTCAGTGCTCCTTAACTAATTGACAACGGCTTTGGGTCAGTTTTCTTTGCTATTCGAAAGCCTCTAAAATTTATTAATATAAAATTTGTTCTGAGACTGCAGTTTTAAATTGTGTGCATGATTTAAAATATTTTTTTTCTTAGTTTATTTTTTGTATTATAAATCAAGTAAAAGTTTTCCAAAATGTACAAATAATTTTTTTAAAGAATTTCTATTTAACATTCCGCGTACTTAAACTAACGTGCTCATTTACGCACTGTTAACTGAATTCTATTTTTTTATTGTTTTATCAAAGTATATCCACAAGTGCGTTTGGAATTGAAATGTATCTATACTGTTCAGACTCCATTGTTTAAAAATAAACAAAACAGAAATAAAACCAAAAAGAAAAAAAAACAAACAAAAACGAAACTAAACCAACACCATGCATCTCACTCGTTTTAACCTATAAGAGCTCTCATAATTGGCACGCGCCTGCGCACTCACACCATTAAAACATTAAAAATGAAGAGCCACTGTGTGTGCTTTGAGCAACTGAGCGCAAAAGAGCAACAACATTGTTTGTTTTTGATAAATAAACAAAAACAAACAATATACAAAAACAAAAAATGTTTTAATAAAATTGCAAAAGCAAAAGCAGCAATACTCAGAAGCACTCAATATGGGGGAAATAAACTCGTTTACCTTAACCAACACATACGCATAAATAACAACTTTTCCAAACATTTTTGAGTTAAATGTATTTGTAGGCGTTGACAAAGCACGCAGTCATGGCAACCAATCGTCATACCCCAAAATGCTTACACATACAGGGTCACAATCAATAGTCAACATATTTTCTTATTAGAATGGAAATGAGCGATTGTGCAAAGTGGTTGCTGTCGACTGAATGGTGTGCCTTTACTACAGCTGCACACGGTAAACTTGTATAACAAGCTGTGCGACAGTGGAGTGCTGTGTATGCGCTGAATGAGTGGAAATATACATTGCCGTCGTTGAAATTTATTCGTTGCCTTTAATGTGTGTTTATATTACAAACTTTGTTTGGTTGTTTTTTTTTGTTTTGTTTTTGTTTAACATAAATTTTTTTCATACTATATTGATACTGTTTTTGTTGTTAATGGTTTATATTTACATTTTTTCTGTTTGAAATTTATACAATTCGTTTTGTTGTTGGTGTTGCTGTTGTTGTTGGTGTTGGTGTTCTTTGCTGCGACAATAGTATTCGTAGCCGTAGTGGCAATAGTAGTGGTGGTGGTAGTCTTGTTGCTTTTGACTTTGTAAGAATCTTGCCTTTCAATGTGCGATTCAACTGCGTGTCGTTAGTTTAACGTGCGGTCTTGTGGTGGTAACGTCGTGTGCAGTTCGTACGGACGTTATACGGTTTGCGTTTTAGCACATTGTATTCCTTTCAAAGGGAAAAGTAGCATTTTTACGTAAATTATCAGCAAAGCATTTAGTTGATACGGCGGCTTATCAGTTTTATAAGTGGAAATTTTTTGATAAGATTTTTTTTTATGAAGTGAAAAAAATAAAACAACAACAAAATACGAATACAGTGATTTTTAAAATAAATTTTTAAGAAATATAAATAATACACAAAAAAAATGAATTACTCAAACTGTGTTGTTATGTGTCCTTAAAGAAAAACAACAACCCAAAGCCTACTTTAAAAAGATTTTTTAAATTCAAATAAATAATTTATATTAATATATCTATGTCAACTTGAAGGAAACTTGCCAGTTGTGCTTGTGTATGTGTGTTCATCTCACACACTCAAACTTATCAAAGGATATTTTAAAAATTTTTGATCTTTCACACGTTGGATTAAAAACCGCCAAAATTGTGGAGGCACTTAAAATGAAGGTAAGTCGCGACCTATTTTTCGTGATTGATAAGCGTTTTTAACGCGATTGCCGACGGCGTTTATGAGTTTCAAGCAAATCGCTGCTTAAAATCTGGGCTTTTACTGTCACATAAAAATTTTAGATGTTGAACTAAATTAAATTGTCACTTCAGTGTTGTAAAAAATGTATTAACTATTTTATTGTATTTTTGCTTGATTTCTAGAATAAAGAAATTTATAGATTCGTAAAAAGACAAAAATATTTTGTGAAGTTTAAAAATTTGGTGAATTTTAATGCTTTCACAAAAATCTGGCAACATTTTATATAGGGACCTTAGGTTTTAAATAATTTTATTAAGCTTTCCAAAGTATGAATTCAATGTTAAAGATATTATTGATGAGGAATAGTATACTGAGGTATTGCTTATTGGTTAGAATAAATTTCTATTGTAAAATATTATGTACAAGTCTATAAAATTATATCAGAAAAAAGTGGGTTGAATAAAGTAATGTTAAAACCTTGTACGAGTTCGAGTAAATTGATGGTAAATTCAGGGAAATAGTAAATTATGTCAGTATGGCAACGAACATTTGTACTTACCAGAATTACGAGTAGGGTAAATTAGGTAAATTATCTATTACTATTGTGAACATTTTATAAGATGTTTAATAAATAAATAAATAAATTTAAAAACTTTTAACAGAAAAATAATAAATAAGTGTAAATAAGTGCAGTGCAAAAAATCCCTAGGAAATTTCAATTTACTTTACCTTAATTTATTTGAACTCGCACACGTCCTTTAAGAGACTTTAAAACTCTACAATCAAATCTATCTATAATTTTTTATCCAATGCTCCGGTATTCGCACGCAGATTCTTAAGTTTTAGTGACCATACAATTGCATCGATATATGATAGCTTATTGAGAAAGATCTTTGGATCAAGATTATATCCACAAGGGATATCAAGGGATATTTTTATTGGTTTATAAACTAGTTAGCTGTTCGCTATTTAAAGAACCCATTTTAAAAGAGATAAAGTATAGCAAAGGGATACCATAAAAGTTTTTCAAATACTTTTAGCTATATAATAATAATAAAAATAATAATCAATTCAACAATAGAAAAAACTCAATACATAACAGTAGTTAACGACACATATAGGCACAAATTGTCTAAATAGTTAAAAGACTTAAAATTTCTTAAAAAATATAGCACACATCTATTGCAAAAAATTGCAATCGTCATTAAATTGCAATTTAAATATTTAATTTAAAGTAAATCCATAGTAACTTAGATAGATCCCAATAACTTCTCAAGGAAAACGATCTCAGCTAAGTTCCCAGGGGGCTCGTTGTTTTATCACGCATAAGTTTTAAGGCAATAGCGTCTACAACTATATTACAGATCTATTGAAGATCTAATTGTAATTTAAAACAATTAACACATTTAAGTATAATTATGGCTTATTAGCATAGATATATGCTGGCATGGAAGTTGAACTTAGTTGTACTCTCATTGTCTCGTTCTGATACCACCAGGAAGTTTAAAGCAATAGCCTATTCTATTATATTACTGATCTGTTGGAGAAAATTTTAGTTTTATGCAAATCAAGACAAGGTTTAGTATCTTAGAAAGTTACGAGTATCTGCTGGTCCTGTCTTGGAAAGCGAACTCAGTTAAGTCCACAATAGGATCAAAAAAATTCTGATACCACAAACAAGTATTAAAGCTTCTGGTAAACATAAATCTTACAAGGCATTGGGATTTGTCATTTTAAAGATGCAACAATAATCTGTAAGGTTCATATTCGGAATGCCGGACAGAAACTTAAGGAAGTATATGTATATTGATTCTTACGATCTGCAACTTCAATAGTTCCCAGTTGAAAATTAACATCCTTAATTTTCCAATTAAATTAAATTTTATTGTATTTATTTATTTATTGTATTTATATAAAGACATTTATTTATTTAAATTTTTTTAAATTTTATTATTTTAAAGTTGCTGTCTACGTCCTTTAGTTGTTGACCATATCATATAGCAATATGTTGATATATAGAATGAAGCCTATATTCCGGTTCCCTATTCAAGTTGTTGTCTACGCCCTTTAGTTGTTGATTGTATTAAAATATCTATTGTTGAAATATAGAACGGAACCCTAACTATAGTTTGCAGTGATTTTGATGGATAACTTTGAAGATTTGCAATATTAAAATTGTGTGCAGTTATAATTATATACTATATATCCACATCGGTTTTTATTGTATTGTATTGGGCTTATTGGTCAATTACATTCAACAATTGTTACAAACAAAAATAAACAAAAACAACTTTAATTATTTTAAACTAATTTTTATTTAAATCAATATTTCGACTTCAATCTAATGTTGTCATCAAGATCAAAAATTATATAAAATATTAAATATTTAAATATTTTATTTATTTTAAAGGCTGCCAAAAAAAACTAATCCATATAAATAATTGGGGTTAATGTCAATATATATTAAATTGTTGGATGATAATTGAAAGCACTTTAGTTTGATTAAGTTTTTCAGAGAAATTTAATTTCAAATATAATTGAATTATATATTATTTATTTAAATTTGAATTTAATAAATTTAATTCAAATCATTTAGCTTAGGTTAGGCTAGATTATACCGGCGATCCTAAGTTATCCACTTATAACCCCATTGTGTTACCACAAAATTAAAAAACTCAAGGGTTAGAACCATTCAGAACCATTGGCAAAGTATATAAAAGTTATTTAATTGAGCTTAAAATTTATATTGTATTTATATTAAATTTAATATTTTTAATAAATTTTGTTCAATTGCATTAAATTTCTCAAAAATCCATAAATTTATTTTAAGATAAATTTTAATAAATAAAATAAATAGATCATAAGTCGTAGCTACTTTGTCACATAGTAGCCCACATAATATGAAATGGCTTCATAATGATTTCGAACTTAGAGTAAATATAATTAAAAATTTAATAATAATAAGTTATAAATTATGATATTAGTGGCTTTAATTAATTTTTAATATACATTGGTATGATTTATTATATAAACCTAAACCTAAATTAAATTAAAAAACTAATAAATGCCATAAAATCAATGCGATCGAAACACAATGGAAATTTTTGAATAAAAACAAATTTAAAATTATTATATTAAACTATTTTATATATTAATCGAAGAAACATTATATATATTTAGTATGTATATGAACTTTTAATAACCTTTTAAATAATCAATGTGTTGTTTGTTATTGATGGCGGTAATAAAAAAATCGTTTGTCCAGAAAGTAAATGACCACTAAAAAGTTATTAGTCGACTTAGCTTTTGTGTGAAAATATCAATATTAACTATATAAAAATATAAAAATAAAATTATATAAAAAAAAATACTGAAATACAATAAAAAAATCTTTAAGACGTTTTAAAGAAGACATTTTTATGAACAAATTTAATATTTAAATTTGAATCGTAAAATTTTCAAAATCGCTTGACAATTCCTTTCAATTCGCAAATATTGATAAGATTCGGCAAACTCGTCTCTGAAGACACCATTCCACTTCTTCCATTTTATCACGGATTAAATATCTAATATAATACAGACTTGTGTTATTGATTATGTTATTGGTTTTGTTATAGTTTTTTGACTCTATTAGAGATAGAGATAAAGGTTGATGTTTCTATTATGAATTTAATAACCATAAGCCATAAAATTGGTAAGCCATAAGCTATAAGCCGTAAGCCATAGGGCAGGTGAATTTTATGAAGATTATGACATTTTCTCTGATATAGATCTTTATAACTATTGTAAATTTCATGTTAAAATGTATTAAATGTCTCTTCTAATTTAATTGCAGTTTTAATGAATATATAAAAAATTGTTACATTTAAAATTTTAATGAGTTTTTTGACGTAAATTTTATTTAAATACAATTCAAAGGCAACTCTTAAGGAGTTTTCGTGTTTTTCTTTCAGTTGAACTGAGTTGGTGAATATTATTTGGTTGTCCTAAATACTTAGGTTGTGATAAAAAAAGTTATAAAATAAAAACATGTTGAATAGTTAGGAAATATGTTGGTAAAAAATTGATGGGAAAGATTATGGTAGAACGTATTTTTTTTTATTTTATTCAAAAGTATAGAGTTAAATTTGTCTTACTGTACAATTCAGTTACAGATATATTGAAGAGATGGGAATTATTATAAAGTGTTCAAGTTTAATTGATTAATTTCATTTACATTCATTTAAGAATCTATATTTTCAAAACCTTTATATTTATAAATTGTATATGTAGTTACAGAATAATTAACATATTTCGATAGTATTTTGTTTTTTTGTCCGAAGAGGAGGTTAAAAATCCCTAACGCATCGTCACTAAATCGTAACAAAAGTGGTGTGCCTGATTTGCATGGACTAAAAACAATTCCCCTCGTATGCGAGACCGATATTTCGATTGTATGGAGCATTATAATGTATTTAAATATGTCAATATATACGAGATTCACTCACTTCCTAATCATGAGTTCCTAATTATATCGTAATAACATTTTTCACTGTTAATATTAAAACAAAAAACCTATTGATTAATTTAATGAAGAGTTTTTCTATATCTACGGTTTTACTTACTGTAATCGCATTTGTACTTATGTTCTAGAGATAGAATGCTACTACTATTTTTTCTATTTTTTCAAGCGAAATTTATAATCTGTCCTATATTATAAAGAGACATTAACGCAAGCCTTATGTTCAATATAGTAAGCCTGCCTCTTAGCACTACGATATCGGGAAACCTCTCAATACCACCTGTAAATTCTCTATTTCTATTGAGCTCTGTAAATAAAATTTTAACTACATGTGTTTAAGGAATTAACCTTACGTCAGTCTTAGGTTCTGAGAAAGTAGTGTACATTTGTTACCAAAATTAGTGGGTAGCTCGATACAAAGAACAAACCTAAATGAAATGGTACATGATGGAAGAAAAATTCTTTTTAAAAAATGGG